TGTGTTGAGTTTGAGGCATTGGTGGGGCATGAATTAGGGGCCTCCAGAGGCAGAAGAGGTCTTGGGGCCCTAGCTGGTTTGGCTCAGTGGATAAAGCATCAGCCTTCGGACAGAAGGGTCCCAGGTTTGATTCCCGGTCAGGGCACATGCCGGGGTTGCCTGCTTGATCCCCAGTAGTGGGTGTGCAGGAGGCAGCCGATTAATAATTCTCTCTCACCATTGATCTCCTTCTTCCTTCTTCTCTGAAGTCAATAAAAAATATATTAAACATTAAAAAAAGAGAGATCTTGGGTGGACATGATGAAGGTTTGGGAGGCACTGGCGTATGCATGGGTAAGGTTATCTAGGAGGAGTGTGTAGGGCCTGGTAACGCCCCATTTAAGGGGTTGGCAGAGAAGGGGGAGACTGAGAAGAAAGGGCACTGCTAACGTTACAGCCTAACCAGTTGACTGGCTTAGCTTCCCACTGCGTGAGTCACTGAGTATCCTGGGATGCCCCTGGGAAGGTATCCAGGGCAACAGAAGACACTAGAGAGGCCAGCCTATTCTCCTTGGCCACTGAATCCTAGCCCTGCTGACCTTGTCTTCACCGACCTCTCTTCCCTAGATCCTTTCCCAACATAGTACAGACAGCTCTCCCCACTCCCAAATACCTCACCTATATAAGGAAATGTAAAGCAGGTGAAAAGAGCCAAATTAAAAGGCACTTTGGAGTCTGGGACCCCTCAGACTCCTGGTGGCACCTTCTAGGAGGTTCCAAGGGAAGGGACAGGGGTCAGGGGACATTCCAACTGGGTTGGCGACACAGGGATCCTAGTTTGGGTTGCAGCCCAAGAAAACCCCGCCTTACCCTGGAGACTATGACCTGCCTCCCTCCTCTCCATGAGGATCCATCAGATTTTGAAGAGCTGTGATGGGAACTCTTCCTCTACCAGCTTAGTGCAGACCCTCTACCACCGTGAACTTGGGATAGTATAATGGGTTCTTATTCTATTTCACCCCCAACTGGTCTAACACTAACTAGACATACTACTACTATACAATTCTGGTGCTGACCATCAGGAGTTGGCACCAGATCCCACAAGTTAAGGACTCAGTTTTCTATGAGACTGCCCTGATTTCAGAGGCCAGCCATACATCTCATGGGTTCCCAGGCTGTCCACATATTCAGGGGTTCCTGCCATCCTCACAGGTTCAGTAATTGCAAGAATAACTCTCAGGACTCAGGGAAGTGCTGTGCCCATGATTACCATTTCATTGTAAGAATATACATTGGCCAGGTCTGGAAGGGTCCCAGAAGCACGTCGTCCACGCCCTTTTCCCCGGGAGTAAGGGTGCACCACCCTCCTGGCACATTGATGTGTTTACCAACCAAGAAGTTTCCCTGAGCTTCAGTGTCCAGAATTTTTATTGGGGTTTTATTGGTTTGTTAACAAGTGGCTCAAAGTGCTAACCCTTTAATCACGTGGCTGTTTTTTCTGATGTGGCCTTCCCCCATCCTGACTCTTTCCTTTGCATAAACTATCTAATCATCTCATTAGTATAAACTATCAGGGCCCATTATGAGTAACAAAGAACTTCTATTGCTAGCTAGGGAAAGTCCAAGGATTTAGAATTTCCCTCCTAGGAACCATAGACAGTCAAGTTCTTTATTGTACATCATTTCTTAACTTTTCTATTATTTTTATTTATTGATTTTTTTTAGAGAGAAAGATATTGATTTGTTGTTCCACTTATATATGCATTCATTGATTGCTTTTTTATTTTTACTTTATTAATTATATAGGTTTCAGGTATACAATTCTATAATACATCATCTGTATATTGTATTTGTGTTTACCACCCTAAGTCGAGTCTCCTTCTATCACTATTTATCCCCTCTTTACCCACTTCTAACTCCTCCTACCCTCCCGCAATCACCAACTGTTGTCTGTGTCCATGAGAATTTTTTTTCTTTGCTTGATCCCTTCACCCATCTCACCCAGCCCCCAACTACTCTCCCCACTGAAACTGTCAGTCTGTTGTCTGTGTCTATGAGACTGTCTCCATTTTGTTAGTTTATTTTGCTCGTCAGTTTCCGCATATAAATGGAATCTTATGGTACTTGTCTTTCTCTGACTGGCTTATTTCACTCAGCATAATAATTTCCAGGTCCATCCATGCTGTCACAAAAGGTAAGATTTCCTTTGTTTTCACGGCTGAGTAGTATTCCATTGTGTAAATGCACCACATCATTTTTATCAACTCATCTACTGATGGGCACTTGGGCTGCTTCCAAATCTTGACTATTGTAAATAATGTCGCAATGAAAATAGTGTACATATTCTTTTGAATTAGTGTTTCGGATTTCTTTGGATAAATTCCTGGAAGTGGAATCACAGGGTCATACGCAGTTCCATTTTTAATTTATTTTCATTATTTTAAAATATACTTTTATTGCTTTCAGAGAAGAAGGGAGAACGAGACAGAGACATCAATGATAAGAGAGAGTCATCGATCGGCTGCTTCCTGCACGTTCCCACTGGGGATCGAGCCCCTGCAACCCGGGCATGTACCCTTGACCAGAGTTGAACCTGGGGCCCTTCAGTCCTGTTAATGTAAAAAAACCATTGAAACCTGTAAAGAATTTTTGTGAGTTTATTTGAGCCCAACTGTCGACATATGCCGGGAAGCAGAACCTCAACGAATTGAGATAATGCTCCGGAGAATGGCGGGGTTACATCCGTATTTATACATTCCAATCAAAGGAGGAGCATAGGTGGGTTGCATGAAATTCATTGGTGTTAGATTAAGGAGGTGGGATTAAGTGAAGCGGGGGTGGGGGGGGGGTGGGGGGAACCTCTAGGATAGGATAAAAAGTAAAATGATGGACACATACTTAGGTGGGTGCAGGAACAATTAACATGATAAATGAAAGAATCTGCGGCATCTGTCCTGGGCCAGCACACCTGGCTGTGCCCCAGGGGCTCCAGATACAGGGAAGTCATAAGTTACCCAGACATTTCAAGGGTGTGTTATCATAGATGCAAAAAGACAGATAGGCTCAGTTAAGGTAAAGGTTGACCTTGTCAGTGAAGATACTGGCCTAGGACGTAACTGCCCACCATCACTGCTTTTAGTTAAAGTTTAATTTCAGACCATCCTTTGTGGTTATTTTAGGTCTCCGAGTCTGCAAAACTGCCATGCAGGCCTCTCCTGAGCTTGTCAGGTCAGCACGTGGCCCCTTTCGTCCACAGTCCGTAGGCCAATGCTCTATCCACTGAGCAAACTAGCTAGGGCTGTTGACATTGATAACAGCCATTCTGACAGGTGTAAAGTGATACCTCATTGTGGTTTTAATTTGCATTTTTCTGGTGATTAGTGAAGTTGAGCATCTGTTCATATGTCTATTGGCCATCTATCCTCTTTGGAGAAGTGTCTGTTCAGGTCCTTTGCCCACTTTCTTTTCTTTTTTTTTAGGTCCCTCCCATGCCCGTGCCTGTGCCGGTGACCCTGCCTATTTTCAAACCTTTTGAGCTCGGCTTGCCAGCATTCTGAAAAACCCTAACTTAACTCTGGTGCCGTGTCACATATAGAAATTTTTTGATATTTGCAACCATAGTAAAACAAAGACTTATATTTTTGATATTTATTTTATATATTTAAATGCCATTTAACAAAGAAAAATCAACCAAAAAAAATGAGTTCGCGTGTCACCTCTGACAGGCGTGTCATAGGTTCGCCATCACTGCGGCTGTGACGAGCGGGCATGGCCATGGGTGAACCTGAGAGGGGGCGGTGAAGGATTTAGAAAAGACAGACAAGAGAAGAAAGCTGGGTCTAGGTGGGATGCTGATTCTCTGATGGAGAGACAGGCCGAGTCTTTATTTTACAGCCAGACTCCATGAGGCAAAGTAAGGGCATGGTTACAACATTCTCCCATTCGAATCTACTCAATTACACGCACCTGATCAAGCTTTGTTTACTTGCTGCACCTCCCGCAGCCCTTATCACTTAGCCACGTGGGACCACAAGTTCGGATCATAAGGTCAAGCTTACAACTATACCCTTTGGCTATAATTGTGCTGGGAGGGTTTGCACGTGGCTTTGCCAGAAAGGATCATGCCCTCTCATTGGTCCCAGGCTGACCCTGTCCAAACGCTGTGGCCGCTCTCCACACTAGGCTACCCTGACTTCCGAGTCCACAGTTCCCTGTATACCTCCTGCGAGGCAGGGGTTGTGCCCTAATTGCCTTTGTGTCTCCAGCCCTTCACACAGGGCCTGGCAGAGTAAGGTACCAAAATACATGTGCCCTCTGGCCCGTGTTACAGAATTATTCGGGTCCAGAGGTATGGTCGGCACTTGGAATCCCGTGGGAGGGATGGCCGTAGGATGAGGATCCTCTAGCTCAGCTCCTGGCTGAGGGCCTGAGCGGCCCCCTGGGTTCCAGAACCACGTAATCACTCAGTGCACAAAGGGGCTGTTATGCTCTAAACACTCGGCCAGGTGTTGGGGATCAAAGATGAATGGAGAGATTAGCTGGGAGGATGGAACTGAGCAGAAACTTAAGGACAAACCTGCGCAAGGAAAACAACAGGGGGCTTAACCTGTGCTTTGGTCCAGGTGTGCGGGGGCGGTATGGGCCCTCCTCCCCACGCCCTCCGAGGCGAAGATTTGAGAAGGATTAGCTATATAATCCTCGGGCTGGGTCTCCCTTCCAGGAAGGGGTGAGGCCCGAATCCTAATCCGGCCCCACACCTGGCCCCATTGTTCCCTTACTTCCCTGCAACCGATCCACCGCTCCGGGAATTGGCGATCTGGCGGCTCATTCGCTGTCCAGAGGCCTTTGAAGGGGCCTGGGTGGCGGAGAACCGACTCCCCGGACCCAGGCACCGGTCACTCGGACGAGCAACGACCCCTCCGGAGGGTCTCAGCGATATTCTTAGACCGTGCGGCCCCTTTAAGAGGAGGAGACGGGCGGGCGCGAGTTAGCCGCCACCGGACGTCACAAACCCAGGACCGGGTCTCACTCCCAGGCGGCCCCGCGGCCCCGCCCGCGCCCTCCGAGGGACCGGACTTCTGGGAGCGCCCCGCGGGCCTTGGCGGAGGCGCGGGCGCCCACTGGCCGGCGCGATCGCAGGGGCGGGGCCGCATCTTAAAGGGCCGGAGCGGAGGCAGCCCGGTAAGGGCGGGGGGCTGCGGCGGATCGCGGGGCCGGGACGCCACGTGGCCCCGTGTCGATTTCCCTTTAAATCTCTCTAGTCCCTGGCCCATGGAGCCCACGCAAGACTACCCACTGTTCGGGGGCGCCTTCTCCGCCACGCTCCCCCCCGGGGCCATTGACGTGAGGTGAGAAACGCCCCCGCGCGGATGGAAGCCGACCGGGTGGGGCTGCGGAGAGGAGCCGGGGTCAACCCGTGCCTGCCTCGCCTCCCTCCAGCGACCTCCGACCGGTCCCGGACAACCAGGAAGTTTTCTGCCACCGCGTGACGGACCAGAGCCTGATCGTGGAGCTTCTGGAGCTGCAGGCCCACGTGCGGGGAGAGGAGGCCGCGCGGTGAGCGGGCCGGGCCGCGGCTGGCCAATGGGAGGCCCGGGCCCGGAGTGGGCGGGGCCTTCGCGGGCCGGTTCCCCTGGGCGACGAGAACTCCAAGGGCAGCCACGTGTCACGCAGAGTGAGCGAAGCCTAGACTTCAAGATGCTTGTGGGGCGACGGTGGGAGGTGCCCCTTCTGACCCTGCCCCTCCCCGCTCCAGGTACCACTTTGAGGACGTTGGTGGGGTGCAGGGCGCCAGGACTGTTCAAGTGGAGGCTGTGCAGCCCCTCCTCTTGGAGAACCTGGGCCTGAGGGGCTGCTGTGAAGAAGCCTGGGTCCTCTCGGGCAAGCAGCAGGTGGCTAAAGAGAACCAGCAGGTAAGGGCGAGTGAGATGGCCCGGAGGGGCGAAGAGGGGGGCCCGAGAACATCCTGACACCGATCCCTTTAGGTAGCGAAGGACGTGACCCTGCACCAGGCCTTGCTGAGGCTGACTCCGTACCAGACTGATCTCCTGCTCACCTTCAATCAGCCCCCGTAAGGAGGACAGAAAGGGCACATGGCTCAAGGGTGGGGTCCCCAGGAGCATGGGCTGGTGGGGTCCTCCAAGGAAGTGGGAGTGGGCCAGAGGTTTGGGGTCACAGATACCCAGGTCGTCCCAGGAACAGGAAAGGGTAACTTCCACACATGAGGCCTGGATGATGTTCTCTCCCCGTCTGTTCCCCCGCTCCCAAGCCCTGACAACAGGTCATCTCTTGACCCTGAAAATCTGTCACTTCCACCCTGGAGCCTGGGTGACTTCGAACAGCTGGTGACCAGTCTGACTCTCCATGATCCCAACATCTTTGGTCCCCAGTAAAGATGCTGAAATGCTACATGATGCCGCTGAAGACTTGGGGACCCCATTCTGCAAGGGGAACAAAGGGTGGGATATATTCCCCAAATTCCTTCCCTGTGGATAAACATAAGACACCTCTCTGCAGAAATAAACTTGCTTTATAACCAATATAATCTCTGTGCCTTTGAATCTAACAGGACACCTGGGTCCCCCCAATTCCCTTTGGTCTTGGAGGGTGATTTTAAAGTTGTACGTGTGATCAGAAGGGACCCAAGGCTGGCAGTGAAGAAAGGAGGGGACATAAACTTTGGAGTGAAGTGTACAGGGGGACAGGTAGAGAAAGTTTAAAGTGACAGCCACAAAGGGAGGGAAACTATCTCTTGTAGTGATTCAACCCTGAGAAAACAGATAGGGAGTGGGATTGGCTGTCCCCCTCTGATGGATAAGAGGTCGCCTGGTAAGAAGTCACCAGGACATAGTAATGGAGGCAGAAGTGTCCAGGGAGTGCCAACTTGGTGGAGTGAGGGGGAGTGGCTGTTACTTGGTGTACGTGTAGTAGAGGAAGCGAAGCTGGTCCCAGAAGAAGAGGGAGAGGATGGTGTGAGGGCCGAGGCGGAAGTAGGAGGCTCCAATACCCTTGTACATGCCAAAAATGCCCTCTGTCCGAGCCGTCTGCAGCAGAGCGTCCAGCACGCCTCGGTACATGAGGCCCTGAGAGCAGGTTGGAGAAGGAGGGAGAGAACAGGGAAGGAGTCTGTCAGAGCCCAGCAGGGGTCTCACCTCTGCAGGCTACCTTTTAGGCTGTCCCACTTGGATCTGCAATCTGCCCCCTGCCCCCCCCCACCCCCCCCACCCCCCGCTGCAGTTTTCCCTGCCTGAACCACAGGGCACGCCCTTTACCTTGCCCTGAGTGGCTGTGGGCTAGGTTGTAGAGGCCTTGTGCTGATCAGATTCAAAAGGATGTCATGTTCCGGACCTCCGCAATGGCACTCACCATGGGAGCTGCCCGAGCCACCTTTCCAGCTCTGGGGGAGGAAATATCTAAGGGGGATGGAGTAAGAGCTTTGTCAGTCAGTCAGTCAATCATTCAACTTCCTAAGAAAGGACAAGCCCTGCTTCTGGCAATACAGGTAGAGCTGGGAACTCCTCGGGAGTCTCTCCTTCTATCAGGTAATACAGAGGTGAAAACACTGTGGAAAGCTCCAGGTACACCCTTAGGAGGGAGTTGACAAAAGCTGTGGGAAAGGGAATAGCTATAAGCTTGTCCAAACTCCCTGCCCCACCAATGAAATATTTTTTGCGACCCCGGCCATAATAAA